TCATCCTCTGACATGGGAGCTGGCTTGGAGCTCGTCTGCCTGGCTCTGTGTTTTCTGGACGGCGCCGCCTGTGGAGCTGGTTGACAGCTGCCTTTTGTATCTCTGCTTCTTTCTGTATGTCTGCTCCTGTCTCATTGAACCCCAGTCGGCCTCGGCAGACGATCAATCATACTGAGTCTGGTTCTGCAGAATGTTTCTTCCTGTTAAAAGGGAGTTTTTCCTTTCCACTGTCACTACAAGCATGCTTAGTGTGACGGATTGCCTTCAAGTCAATGAGTCAATGCAATCAACTGGTTTTCCTTAGATAGAAAACTGAATCAATTTGATATGATCTGGTTGAATTGTCTCTGTAAAGTGCCTTGAGGTGACCTGTCGTGTGAATTGGTGCTATAAAAATAAATTGAATTGAATTAAATTTATATTATATAAAGTTATAAAAGCTATGCTACTAAAAGGGAAGGACAGAGAAGAGGAGGAATCAAGCTTTTTGGTTTCAAAAGAGAGGATAGTTTCACATTTGGTGGTTTCTAATAAAAAAATGATTAACTGTGTAAAAAGATTCTTAAATATATAAAACATGTATTTATGTCATTTCAAGAGACAAACCTGTAAAACTAAAATCTATAGATTAAAAAATCAAAAACAAGGGCAGTTATGATGTGGTTCTGATCCTTGACCGTTTCAACTCAGTTCCCCAAAGCCTTAGCATTACTTGTGTAATAATGTCATTTAAAGCCGCCTCTTTGTGGAAGGGATCTAAAATCCTCATAAAGTCTTCGCTCATAAACTGCATAAAAGCCCAAAAGTTATCATACATAAAACTGAATACGGTTCAGAAGTGTAATCACAGAACTCTTTCCACAGAACATGTAATCCTGTGGTGAAACGCAGCGCTGACCCCTGCATAAGACTCATGTAATTGCACTTAGACTACAGTCTCATGACCTTCTGTGGTTGCCCTCATATGGCAATTTCCTCCATCGCTGCCGATGAAGCTGGCCTCGCGGTGCTATGTCTGAATGAGCTGAACACCTGCTCTCTGAGGAGAAACAGAGGTCTGTCATAAAACTAAATATTTGAAAATGTAAAAATGTGATGGAGGGGGAAAGATGAGAGGGAGATGGAAGGGTAAAGGAGAAGGCTACGTGCTTCCAGTACAGGTTCACATGTAGAATTTATATTAATTGGCAGTATAAGGAGTGCAGCTTTAACAATTCTGTGCACAGTTATTCCATCCATGTATTGCCTATAGCGACTTGTCCTTGCAGAGTTAGGGCGTACGTCCTGGATAGAGGATTGCCAGTCCATCATGGAGCAAAAAACACATGCACACAAACACTCAAGAGCAAATTAAAGAGATCATTTGACCAAACAGTGAAGTTGTTAGACTGTGGGAGGAAGCTGAAGTACTTGAAAAGAAACTAAAGATACAAGGGAAAACATGCAAGAGTGCAGAAAGACCCCAAGCCAGGATTCAAATGCAGTGCTTTTCCATGCTGCCCCACAAAAAAGATATGTGCTTTTTTTTATTGTATTTTTTAACCTCAGTTTTCTGAATACTCTTATCTTGCAAACATAAATGTCAAAGTGATATATCAAAATAACGTAGGGCATCTCAACAAAAGGGAAGAACATTTTTTGTTTGTTGTTGTTTCACCTTTTTTAAAGAAATTTAAATTAGAAGTGTGTGACATGAAGGTACTGTATGTTGGACTCAAAAGAATATCCAGTGGAACTGACAGCATTGAGATGACACTCAAGACACAATATAATAAAGGGAAGCTTATTATGTCAGTTGATTCTAATCAGAACCTCTTCAGGATTCACACTTTTCATCTTTGTATAAATTTGTATGAATTACAGAAAATAAAATGAGCAAAGCTTGACCCCCCCTCCACACTGAGAGGGAAAATGAGCATTCTGCAGGAAGAAACAGAAAATGAATCCAAACCACAGGAAAAACCTGTCAGATCTACTTTTATAGTAGCAGAGAAGAGCAAAAGGCGCACAGACCTACGTGCAGCATGAGAGCCTCCATCTCCTTGCGGTTCCCCTGCATGTGTGTCCTGGAAACTGCAACCCCTTATGCACAGATGCAGACCTGCTCTCTGGGTGGTGACACTGCTGGCGAGAAACCTAAGGACTGCAAACGACAAAAGCTGGAGCAACAGGAAGATAATTTAATTTTGATTGGTTTCACGTGTGCTTCGTAAACAGTAAAGTTTTCCTGCGCCTCCAGCATGTTTTCCTGCAAACATGGGATCCATTTGTCCCCCCCTCCTCACCAACCCTAACAGCACCACACTCACAAACTCTATCTCAGTGCAGGCTCTGCAGCAGCAGCTCAGATGTTCTCAAATAAAGTGAAGAAAGAGCAGGCTGAGCCCAGCAGCACTTCAGCATCCAGCATGGTAAAATAGAAAAAAAAAAATCATCTAAAAAGGAAAAAAGATATGCTAAAATTTGTCGAAATGGCTAGAGTGTCAACCTCTGAACTTACAGAGAACATAAATAAAAAGATGAATAAAGTTGGCAAGTGCAGTTTTGGTAAAACCCTGTAATTGTTTTTTTTATTATTATTGGTTGCATTCCGTTAGTTAGTTAGTTAGTTAGTTAGTTAGTTAGTTAGTTAGTTAGTTAGTTAGTTAGTTAGTTAGTTATGTGTGTCTCGTGTTTTTTGTGGATAATGCAATATTTTATTATTAAGATAATGGTACCATAAAAATAAAATACAATTTTTTTGACATCTTTATTATTTATTTGATTGTGTTTTAGCCATATTTGTTGATCAGATGCAAAACGAACGGGCTGAAACATGCAAGCAAAAACAAGAAAAAAATAAATAAATAAGCACTTGTTTAAAACCTTGCTTACGTAAAACAAAGCCATCTAAATATCTTGGAGCCGATTAGTGGTTTATTACCCGGAATATTGTAACGGCTTGTTATTCAACAACACACAGGAAAATTCAAATCTTCTCATAAGCGGTAGTTGGAGGTATTTGAAAAAGCATTTAACTGTGCAGCTCTAGGGTCAAATGTTATGTAAATCTTTGTTAAATTTGATTTGGAGACAGTTACCCCAGAAATAATAATAATAAAAAAAAAAAAAACAATTTGAGTGAGGGTAGCAAAAAAAAAAGATGATACAAAAAATATTGTAATTAAATTAAATTAAACTTAACTTTTTTTTGTCAATGTAAATATATATAATCAGTAACTGAAAGCAAAGTTGTACTGTATGTTCCTATGTTTAATCGGTGGTTTTCCACAGTCTGGAATAATAATCCGCAGCCTTTTATCAGTCAAAATAGTCCCTTGTTGAATACATCGCACACAATGAGCTCAGATTACAGCTTCAAACAGCAGCTTCAGCTGTTTGTGAGCTGCAGAGCCCAAACATTACCGAACGAACACCTTATTTGTGAGATCGGTGCGCGCAGCGCGCGCGCGCAGCTGTGACATAGAAACACTAATAAACCCGCAGCGCTGTGGCGCAAAGCTCACTGCAAATAACTGCAGTCTGATCACAGTTACTGATCTTTCTTTATTATTTCAAATTAGGATATATGCTTCTCACACTAAGTTTCAAGATCAATGCACACATTTTTGGGCTTATTGAAACATGGAGGCTTTTTTTAAACGGGAAGGCCTCAAGCATCACAACTTTTTTTTTTTTTTTTTAAGTGATCAGAAACGCAGAATGAGGGAACAATATGCCTGCTATGGAAAAGGAAAAGTAAGACACGTTAGCTTTAAAGAACACAACTCACCCCCTTAAGAAAAGAAGAATTGCCTTTTAATTTATAGATGTTAAATCTTTAACCAACGCTTATCCATTCAAACTGTCCTGCTATCATTAAACTTCAGTTTACTGATAATTAATAGGCCTTTGTAAAGATGCTTCTCTGATTTCTTTCCCTTTTCTTGGCAGATGTTTCCACATCTCTTACACAGAGTTAATATCCTTCAGCACATTCTGGAATACCTTCAAAAATTGTCTCCAAATTCGAAAATGGGGCAATAATGGGCCTTGTTGGCCACCCGCATTTTACTGTGCTGTAAAAATAATGGAAGTCATATTGAGCTGTGGTCTCTGATGTGCACAGCCAAACGGTTCAATACCAGGAGGAGGGCTTGAAATATGAATTCCTTACCTATTTGTTTTTAACTGAACAGGAATAAGGGTCTATCCTGAATTTATTTTTTTTTACTTGGTATAAAACAGAATTTAATAAATGAACAAACTTGACTGGGTCCTTTCGAAAAATATATCAGCTGATTATTACTAAACACACTATTTAAAAAGACTTGTGATACTTTTCATATAAATCCTATTCTATATATGCAGCCTAACGTTTAACGACTAAACTGACAAAATAAATAATTAAAAGAGTGTAAAGGACTTATCAGGATAAAAAAAAAACATTTATTTTTTTTACTTGCAATTTGATTTAGAACAAACACAGCAACAGATTTACTATAATATTTACTGTAGAAAAACAATAACTGCAAAAATAGAATAACATGTTATCATATCTGACAATATTTTTAATTTAGCCTTTATTTTTGAATTAATCAATTGTGACGTTATATTTTTCAGCAGAAATATATATTTTTAAACCCCCCTGGGAAATTTCCTGGTTCAAAAAAAAAAAGGGTCAAACTAATTTTAGTAAATTTGGGTTTGTTTGGACAAACCACCTGACATGACCTCTGTGAGAGGATTTGCTCAGTGTTTCTGCCCCCGTGTGGTGCAGTGACATTTTGACTCACCGTGTAGACTAGAGTTTACTGTTTGGACAGCAATGATACAAGAGGTTAAAAAAAATAAATAAATAAAATTAACAATCTGAGGAAAACATAAAAATGTTCACTCAAATTAGGTAGAATTTACTTTTGAAAAAAGTCTCACTGTTATTAATTAATGAGGAAACAAAAGAAGATTAGATTCTATCACAAAAGGCCAAAAAAAAAAAAACATGGCTATTAAATATAGTCCTTTTTAAACAATCTTTCACAAGCTTTCGTGTACGATTGTGCACTGACAGACAGAAAGCACAAAATAAATGTGTATGTTTTAAATATTACTGTTTTGGAGCCTATTTTGTTGAAACGTCTCATTTTTATGAGCTTTTCAACAAGCAGTCCTCATCTATGGGGATTTTATGTCTTTATACTTTATGACATTTTCATGACGGTGTGGAAAAAAATCAACAAAAGTCTCCATTGTGCTCCTGTGAAGCAATACTCAACAAATGATTTATTAAAAAGATGTCATATACAGCACAGAATCTATTTCACATAAAAAATTGGGAAAAAAAAGGATTTTTTTGGCTTTTAACAAGAAAAAGAAAGAATGTCATCATAGTAATGCTTGACGTCAACAAGAGATTGTTTTCCTTATGCTGAATTGTGTGTCGTAGAGGAAGGGTAAATGTCCTCATAGGCAGGTGGTTGACAACAGGTGGACTCTTTCCCGTCTAGGCGTCCTCTTTCACTTTTCATCTTCTGTACTCTAAATAAAAAAAAAAAGATTCAGAAACATCAGATCTCAGACAGGCTGGAAGTCAAGACAGAAAAAAACTGGCAAACATCCAAATGTTTACAGGCTCAATTGGTTATGCTTCAACCCTGCCGGCCTTTCAAAGAAAACACAGAGGTGGAGCAATTTCTCCCCTGACGATTCTTCTATTTGGCATTAACTCCTGGAAACACAGTAAAACACAGGTCAGGAGTTGAGAAAAGCAGTCACTGGGCTGGCATGCTCGTGAGATCCAGGCTGCAGCTTTTAGTCAACGCAGGTTAACTGCATTACTCTCGCTGTCTGTTTGTGTTAAAGAGATCTGCTTTGCCTGGAGACCTGCTGGGAGTAATTGACTAAAAGCAATAAAAGAAAGTGAAAACCAGGAATGCAGCTTTGTGTTTATAGCTAAAAAGTCTGTCTGCAGTCTGTTTGATTGGACTTCAAATAGACGGTTCTGCAATTAGTAAAATAAATACTGTGCCTTGGATTTTGCCGAAGGAACAGGTGGGAAAATATAACTTTTTAATTCCCTTTCAAAAACTTTTTCCCTTTAACAAATACATACGGAATAAATGTCTATGATATAATCTCACATCCCAGAGGACTGATGATTCTAAGAAATGTCTGCTATTTTGGGTCTAATTGTCCCCATATTCCAGTGATGCAAAGTTTATTTGAAGATATGGCTGAGGTAATATTTGATTATTTTACTACCTTTTTAAAATTACAGACACAGACTTCATCTACAGAACATAACACACTATATGAGAAGCCCAAAACCACAAAGACATACTTAAAGCTGATTTGCATGATGTTTCCATGCATGGCAAATGAAAGTTCCTCTATGCTTAATAGCACTCTCCTAATTCTTTAGCACATTTAGTCTTTTGTGCATGTACATGACCTTGCAAAAGGTTTCACATGTTGCCATGCCGACAAAATCTGACAACACAGGTTTTAGCCATGCACTCCACTTAGGTGGCTTTTGTGTTACTTTTAACACCTACAGAGTTGGATACATTTCTGGTTCAGATAACATTTGGCCTCACTCCAAATTATTGTAAAATTTACTATATAGCTTCTTTTTTGGAATTTTACTCCTATTTACAAAATTGAGATGATCCTTTCAGAGACTGGTTGGAAATCAACACCATATAGAGTAAAAGTTACACTGCATGGATGTAAAATTTACACTTATTATTACCTTCAACACTTGAGCAGATTTACAGTCAGTATAGTTGTATAGTTATAGTTGTATAGTTACTAGTATATTTATAAATAATCCATTTAGAGTTAAATGGATTCACTGTGAATTTTTAACACCCATTTTTTTGCTGTGAGGTAGAAATCACACAGCCATTTTTGGAGAGAGGTAAGCAGACAAGTAGCAGAAAGTGCTCTGGTCAGAAGGACCTTGATTGATTGAAACTTTTTTTTTTTTTTACAATATGCAAATAACTGCAGTGTGTGTGGCAGTCTTCTCCATCATGGAACACGGTGTTGGCAGCATCAGAATGTGGGGATAACATTTTTTAGGAACAAAAACACATGTCTGAGCTGAATAGAAGCTCAATGCATTGTTGCATTCATTTGTAAGTCAGCTTTAAAGCCAACTTAGTCATAAATAAATAAATTAATATTAAAGAGTAAACTAAATTAAACAAGAATTAAAAAGCCACACCTTTAACTCATACAAATGCCATATGTAATCTTCTTCCAAATTAAGGGCCAAAGAAACTACATGAGTATTAAACAATAAGATTTAAATCATTACATGTCACATGAACACCTATTCAAGCTTTTATCACTGCCAATAAAAACTATTGCAAAACAGCACAAACATCAATTTTTCACTCTGCTGAAAATAACCCCGTAAGAAGCAAGAAAAAAGGTTTAAGCCTGGGGCAGAAACTGACCCTTTATTAGAACCACAGCCCTAATCATACAGTCACAGCTACAATAGAGTAGTTTTTAGATTATTTTATTACGGCAGTCAAAGTTCAGACCTCAACCTGTGGAGAATCAATGGGACGATCTATAGGGCCAGTATACAGATACTCTACCCCAAGGGTCACCAACGTGGTGCCTGTTGATGCCAAGGGTTTCTCAGGGGCCTCATGGGATGCCCACAGCATCTTCTGAAAATAGCACAACTCACCAGTGGGCTAAGATTGAAATTTTGTTTTATTCTGTTGCCCTTCTTTTTTAATCATTTATAGAGCATTTCATTATTTTAATCATACAGAGCATTTAAGCATTTATAGAGATTTCAAAATAACAATAAAGAAAATTAGGAGTTAAAAGAAACAAAAAAATATGTTTATAATGTATGAAAGGTGAACGCTGATCCTTCCTTCCTTCCTTCCTTCCTTCCTTCCTTCCTTCCTTCCTTCCTTCCTTCCTTCCTTCCTTCCTTCCTTCCTTCCTTCCTTCCTTCCTTCCTTCCTTCCTTCCTTCACTCTGTTTTTTCAGGTACTATTCTAGACCAATTTATTTTAGTCTTAACATAATATACTATGCATGTCAATACAAGGACTAAACCTGTAAAAGCCTTCATAGGTTATGGATACTAAATGATAGGCTTTGGATGAAAAGTTTAGGTTAATATATGAAAGGGAAATGTTGTCCTACCTGCTTCTCTGGCCTGCTTCTCTGCAGTGAGGTGTGCTGGATTCTGCAGTCAAAGTTGCGTTGTCCAGGCAGTAAAGAGCTTCATACGACGGGAGCGCTGAGTTATTGCCACCCACAGAGCAGCCAGGCTGGGGGTCGTTTTCTTGTTGTGTTTCCTGAATGACAAAGTTATAAGCAGGTGGAATACACAGCATGGTTGCATTGCCGTGCAACATGACCGGCTGGTTCATGGAATGAACCACGACTGGATGTCCCCTTGAGTTTTGTTCCCTCACAGGTATAACATAAACCTCCTCCTCCTGTCGTCTGCAAGGCCAGCAGGAGACCAAAGTAAACTTGCACACACTGGTAAGCATGAAGGTACCTCCGACTGAGATCAGGATGGGGCCTAGAAGTTGGGTCCACTGAAAGCTCTGGTGGGCTTCAAAGTGCTGCCAACCCATGGCGGTGAAGGTGACACCTACCATCGCCAGAAAGACACCGGACAACAGCAGAGCAGCTCCTGTTTTCTCACCCTCTAGCCAACTGTCAAATGGATGTGGATGAGAAGCGGTACTGGTGGTCTCCACAGCCCTTTGTCCCAACATGGCGGTCTAGTAATCTTGGAGGATTTCTTGGTGTATGAGTTCATCTAACTTCAGTGTCTGAATTAGGGACACACCGTCTCCCATGGTGATCAACAAAATGAACTGAATGAACACTGAATAACTCTGTGAACCTCCAGCCAATAAGTTACAAATTAACCTTTACTGGCATATTGTTGGTTAAATGAAAATAGACTTCACACATTCATTGATAACGGGACTGAACAAGGCCAGTACCTCCTGTCTGAAAATGCATGTGTACATATGACATAGTGTTGGTAATCTACTGAAAATTAATGCATTAATGATGACTTCAAAATGAAGTACAGTTGAATTACTGGTGGCAATTTACACTTGCGTCCTCATGCATTTTTGTTGGTCACTTTCAATTGTTTTAAGACTTTTAAATTTTGCTCTAACTTTTTAAACTATTATGTTTATTTAAGTAAAATAGTACATTTTTTACTTATAAAAACAGTTTTGAGTCTAACTCTGTACATTTGTACTGCACTTACTGGGTTTCTGAGCATCCAAATTCCCAAAATTTGACACACATTATCAGCTATGTACATTTGAAGAAGTTGTATCTTGGCTTTTCGAATTTAAAGCCTAACCCTAACCTTAATATTTCATCTAAAGTTTGTTAAAACTCATGGACTGAAAAAAGACTTCCTAAGTATACCTCACTCGTACTAGGTTGGACTTATTTGCCTTCAAAAGTGCCGTAATGCTACATTCAGACAGCATACGATAGAAGCAGCAAAAAAGCATCTGCTGCTTAATTTTTGATGCTTGTACACAATGGGGTCGGACGCTCCTAAAGAGCCTCCTTGATCCTCCTGAAGAGTGTCCAGTTAAGTGTGTACAGACGCCTCTGATGCTTCGGCTGCTCCTATGTTCAATGGCAGAGAGCGGTTTTGCTATATTTGCTGTGATAAGTGGGTAAAAGTAGCCTAGTAAACTGGCCCCGCCTGCCAGCGGCCAAAATAATTTTTGCTTGGGAGTTTGGACTAGCATCAATCAATGCCCCAGGCACTAGAACTGGCTGGCCAATCGCAACACAGAGATGTTGTTTTGAACTTGTGGATGCACAGCGGGCGGGGTTTTGAGGGTGGGACGACAAAGCTGCGAGACGCTGGAGAAAGCACAACAAGGAAGATGGCAGCAAGTATTGAACAGTTTGTTCGACTCAGCTTTAGAATCAGTTTTGGAAGGATTAGTCTTGGGGTTTTCGTTGAAACGTGAGCAGAAAAATTCATTCATGCATTAATTCTTAAGAAGGACGTATTCGCCGTTTTACGACAGGCTGTTTGTTTACTCACCCCCACTAGCTTTCTGTCGCACTTACTATGTCACAGGGTTCCTACAGCATAAGGCAAGTTTAATTCAAGACTTTTTAAGACTTTTTAATGCCACTTGAAATAAAAATTTAAGATCAAATTCACAAGAAACACAAGAAAAACCCGCTTGCGACAACTTTACCCAACGGTTTATTTTAACATAAACCGCTGCACCAATGTTTAAAATTTTGAAAACCTTTCCATACAGGAAGAAAGCTAAAAACAAACAAATTATGGATATATTTTAATAATTATTTAACTGAATTCACAAACTTTGTTTTAGCAGGGAACAAAACAAATCAGTTTTAAAGCCACAACATAACCAGTCTTTTTTGCAGCTATTTTTCTTCGTATCGTTTTCTTAGTATGTTTGATTTGGTGATAATTGGAGGTGTTGCAGAGACAAGGGTGGAACAAAACTGAGAAATACGGGCTGTTTCTCTGCAACTCGATTTTGATGCTTTGTGTTTCGTGCTTTGCATGTGACTTCACTGCCTTAAGTCCCATCGTTCTGAGCTAGAATGACTTCTTGCACAAAATACACTGTGCCTCATGTATGTTCCCTGGTACTTGTTTTAGCCATGGAGAAAACTCTTGGCTGGATAGCAAATTTTCGTTACATTTACACTTGCTCATGTTTTCCAGACAAAAAGTAAATGGCGCATCTCCCAAATGTCCCGGCCGCAACAACGCTTTTATTGGTTCCGCTATCGGGACGGAACCAATAATGGCGAGCCGTTATTTATTTATTTTTTAAATGAAAAAAAAAATGTGTCAATTTTACCGTTTTATTTAGATTACACAAATAAATCGTAATAAAAATAATCCTATTTATGAGGTTTTAAAAATTAAGACCTACAAAAGACTGATTTAAGACATTTTAATACCAATTAAGGCCTTAATTTTATTTTAAAGAATTCAATGCCTTTTAAGACTTTTTAAGGACCCGCGGGAACCCTGTGTCAGTTGCGCTCATTGGTCACAGCGGGTGGTTCTCATCAACAATCTTCTGATGTCTCATTTATCTGGGCCAGACAAAATTACTCATTTAATATCACATTCAGTCTGGTTTATCAGGCTAGGTAAAAAGTAGTTTTAATATATTTTTAAGTGAGAAACTCCACCTAAAGGCTACATCTGTGCAGTCAGTTTACCAAGGTTATGATCCTGCCTTCAAATATTATTTCGCTGTCGGAGAACCTCAGACCCCGGTGGGGCCCTGTCACTGGAAATCACCTTCAATCCAGCCTTTGTATTTTTTATCCCCAGTATTCTGTAGCTAGCGGATACGAAACCCTTCTCAAGTCTGTTTTTATCTTAATATTACTTTAAACTTTGCTGATATTAGTAAGAAATCAGGACTTAAACTTTTAGAATCTAGCATTTTAAGATAAAGGCCTTTCACACTTATCCCAGTTCCAGTTTGAAGGAAGCGATCTAAAGTGAAAGAGCTTCTGGACAAAGATGTCTCCTGATTTCAATGGGTTTTTTTCTTCAGTGCAACCTGCAAGAGGAAAAACTCAGATTGTTTCACGACAACTTTTTTTTGTGGGCAAGTTTCCAAAACAGCAAAAATAAGAAGTCAATATGATGACTTTTGCTTAAGGAAACCATACTCGCTGTTTGCGTACCACGCTTTGATGTGTGCTACACATGTATACCCTTGTTTATTCTGACTCTACAGTCATGGTCTTTGACTGCTTAGTGTGAGGGGCAGCAGAACTGTCTGCAAACAGTCTGACGTGTGTTTGTGCAGTGTGGTAAAAAATGGACATATGTTCATTGAATTTTAATTCCAAATGCAAACAGTGACATGCAGACATGTTGTTCAAAGACCTAGATGAAAGAACATCCTCACAGTGTTGTATATAGCAACCCCGCTAATCAAGGAGCAGGATAATGCGTACGGCAAAGCAAAACAAAAAGGGGTCTTCGGGGGGGGAAACAACTGATTATTGTGCACATAATACCAGAGACTGATCAAATCTAACCTGTACGCGTCCAACTGTTTACCATAGCCGCAGCTCATTTCACTCGACGCTAATGAACAAGGGGACAGACACAAAGGGCCCATATGAGAGCAGTGTTTAAAGTAACCTCCCGGAATTGCAGCTGTGCAGATTCTTTCAATTAGCAAACTCCAAATATTTATGCAGAGAACATTTCCTCTCTGGAAGGAAGGAAGGTTCTGTGAGTGCTCGTCTCCTGTTGACTCACTCCCGGGTCCGTTGATTCCTTCAGCTCAATGTTTGTTTAGTTTCAGATCTGCAATCCTACTTTGAAAATGTATCATACCTTGATGAGGAACCTTTAAGAACAGACAAAATATTATATCTATGTTGGTATGGTAGTCTATCATATCAAGCAAGACAAAGAAAAACAAAGGTTGATGTCTAAAGGATAACAGGGTGCAATTTTAAACACTTCATTTGAGCCATAAGTGCCTTCATATCTCATGGTATTGTAGATTATTTAGCAGATTTTTTACTTTAAGTCTATTTAAGCAGTTTACCCACTGCTGAAAGAGGATGCAAAAAAAAGCAGTCCTCCTGAGCTACAATCATGCAACTTTGAAATGCATCCCCTTCACTTATTTTAGAATTAAATGGTTGAAATCCCTTATCATCAGGGCTGCAGAAGCATGCATTTGATTCAATTCAGTTTATTTATATAGCGCCAGTTCACAACACAAGTCATCTCAAGGCACTTTACAGAGACAATTCAACCAGATCATATGGTCAAATTGATTCAAAGTTTTCTATCTAAGGAAAACCAGCTGACTGCATCGACTCATTGACTCAAAGGCAATCCCTTACACTAAGCATGCTTGTAGCGACAGTGGAGAGGAAAAATTACCTTTAAACAGGAATGAATTTCCAGCAGAACCAGGCTTAGTGTGAACGGCCATCTGCCGATGAAGCAGACATACGGAAAGAAGCAGAGATATAAAAGACAACCGTCAACTAGCTCAATAGGCCGCCCCATCTAGGAAACAAACAGCCAGCTAGGCGAGCTCCAAGCCAGCCCGCACGTTGATCAATGTCAGTAATGTTAAAAACAGAGAAACAAGATAATGTTGGTGATTTTTTTATGTGACAGCGGTCTTTATTGAACAGTCGTTTAAAAGGAAAGAGAGCATAGGGAAATACCTTAAGTAAATAACTCGAGGCTTAGAATCAACCCAAAGACAATTGGGTTTACCACTCTGCACAATGGGCTTGAAAAACTGAGCGAAGCCACTCTCTGAAACAACAGAATGTCAACGTTATAATTCATGCCACTAAAGTTTTTCACAAATCACTTTGGTCATAAAGACAATAAGGAAAATGAAAAACCCATCTAGCAGTAATCGACACCAAAGCCCGGCATACGCCGTGCAATTTTTTTGGTCAAATCGTGTGTTGTGTAGTATTAAAGAGGGTCACTATTTGCGATTGGCACCTCCCGATGAGCTCTTGTTTAGAAATCGTGGGGTCGAAAGAAAATCAAACTTGTTTGATATTTTGGTCGCGGCTCATGAGGAAGCGGTAATACAACCAGACTGAGAACTCAGAGATTTCACATAATACATGCGTGAAACAAAAGCGGATGTGAACCGTCTACCTCCATTTATTGCGTTTCATGTCAGGACCCCATGTACAAACCCGACCCGGTTAATACAGTGTGAGGACATACATCGCAAGCTGTGAACTTTAACCTCTACGATTGATTAACACAATTTGAGTTGGTGCTCTAAACAATGATTGGAAATAGGGCACAGTGTATCCCAGGCT